TATAGGCGTTTCTTTCAAGATTATACTGTTAATGATTGAATATTATTGAGATAGGTTATACTTGTGTGGTCCTTTCCGTTTAAAAATTACAGATATAATTATATAATTTAAGGTTTTTTAAAATAAAATTCCCGGTTAAGTTTGAGATGTTTTTTCAATAACTTATTTTTTATATCATATTAATGGAAAGTATGAGAAATCATAGAAAAGAGAAACTGTATTCAAAGTATTAGCAAATCAGGACAATATTAAGTTGTTTTGAATTTAACAAAAAGTGTAAATCATTGTTAATTTTGATTAAACATAATATAGTGCGGCAGTGGTCTAGTGGTTAAGACGCCTGACATGTAATCAGGATCCCCGGGTTCATATTAGTGTGACCAGGTCGAAAACTTGGAACACTTGAAACATGACACAAAAATACTTGAAAAAACTTGACCTTAATTTTTATTTAAGTTTTAATTGCATTTATTTTAGAGTATTTGAAAAATTCATCCCCATTTAAAAATTAAATTAAACTTTTATAAGAAATAATTATGTTATTGGAGTAATATTTGTAATATTAATATATTAATCATAAGATTTTGGATGTAAAAGGATGTGATTTTGTGATTACGAGTTCGTAACAAGTAACATAGTTATTTGCCATAAATATATATTAATATAACTATGTTACTTGTTACTTAATATAATTATTTAATAAGCTCACCTTGGACGTAAACGCACGCCAAGCGTTTGGTATTGAAATTGATATTTATGGTCAAACGAAGAATAATTTATTCGTAGAAAACGGGCAGAAAATGTTAGTTTCCAGCGGATTTCGCGATTTAATGACAATTATGTTACCAAGATCAATGCATGGTTTGTTGGGAATGTTTTGGAAATCTCGGTCAAACGGGTATTTCGTGAATATTATCCGAAATGTTATTTCACGACGACTTCCAAAAGTTCACTCACTTTATGTTACCCGAGAGGTTGATAGTTAGGATTGAGCCCAGAGTGTGATTAATATAATAAATTGTAATACTGAACATTCTTATTCAAGACAAATTATTCAAATGGTCACATGGAAAATTTCTTGTCAGAAAATTGAATAACTTTTTTATTATAAGTGATTGACGTAATTTGTATAAAGTTTTATTAAAATCGGTTTAATACAGTTCATATTAAAATGTAGTCAGGGAAATAATTGAGCGAACGCTAAGGTCATAGGTACAAATCAGATTAGAGATCTTGAAAAAAATGATTAAGTGGGGAACATCATGTCCTGTCAGTAAATTATGCAATTAGAATGGGTATTAAAACAAACTATATGTCCCTATCGACAAATTGAATTTATCAAAATCGGCGAATATCATGAGCTAGTCCCGTAAATCCAGTTATAAACATATTGACATAGTGATTTTACACATAAAAATAAAAATAACATTATTTCTATGGACGGAACTTCATGAACACTCTAACGGCAATGGACCGTCAAGTTACAAACAAAGTGTCGTTAGTTTACCGAAAATATTTGCGTATAAATTCAGATTTTAAAGTTCTAAATATAATGTTATAGAAATAATGTTATTTTTATGGGTAAAATCACTATGTCAGTATGTTTATAACTGGATTTACGTGACTAGCTCATGATATTCGCCGAGTTTGATCAATTCAATTTGTCGTTAGGGACATATAGTTTGTTGTAATACCCATTCTAATTGCATAATTTACTGACAGGACACGATGTTCCCCACTAAGTGCATCTAAAAGCCGCAAATAACTTTCAATATTAGACAAATTTCATAAAAATCTGGTTGATAATATACCTAATAAAAAGGTTATTTAAGTTACCATCAAGAAATTTTTTCTGTATGACCCTATAATTTAGAAAACCAAATTTTATTGAACAATAACGTTGGTTTGTTAGTTTGGGGTTAACTCTAAGTATCGTACAGTATAGGCTTAAATTTTATTAATAAAGTAATATTTAATTACATTATTCATATTATTAAAATTTTAAATATAAATATTTTTAATTATACAATATTATAAACCTCTATTTTTTAATTTTTTTAGAAATCATAAAGTTAAATACATTATGTAAATAAAATTGTTCAAATAATAATTATTAATTATTGATTGCAATTAAATAAATATAGGATTCTTAATATCGACATTAAGTCGGGATTATTTGACATCTAATGTAATACTGGGATTACTTATGACACCAATGAATGTATTGGGAGGATATTTCATCAATGTCAGGTATTCTTGTTTGTTTAAGATTGTACCATTAGTTTGGCAATACATTTTAGTTCATGATCAATTATTTAGCACAATACCCCGGTGGTTAGATTGGATGCAGTATTTATCGATTCAATATTACGGATACCAATCGTTGGTTATAAACGAGTGGCAAAATGTGGGAAACATATCGTCCGACACCACAAACACCGCTCTATCGACCACTTATACCAGTGGTGTGGATGTCATTGAATCCAAGGGTTTTCAAGAGTCGGCGCTCCATTGGTGTCCCCCAACACTCATAGCCTGGACTTTGGTTTATATGTGTATCGCATATATTGGGTTATGTTTGAAAGTTAGACACAAATAAGCGCCATGCATGTCATACTAGTCATATTGTATGTCTATATAAAGTTTAATCATTAAACTTTAATGTGTACTGTACTGTACTGATATTCTAATTTTATCTCTATATTGAATATAAAACTACTCACAACTCAATTCTCAATTATGTTGTAAGTTTAATTTTGAATCCAGCTCAGCATTTGATATTTTAGTTGTAAAGATTGTGAAAATGATTGTGATCCATTTTTAGAAAGGTTTCCTAGACACATGAATATAATTTAATTGTACAGATTTTTATTCAAATAAGATTAATTAAAATAATAATTTTGATTTTAAAACAATATACACAGGACATAATACTGAAAATAATCAGTTTGACACTTTTCTATATAGGGTTTCATGTATATAAATGTGCTCATGAATTCTACATGTATTAATAATACAGTATTATACATTTAATGTATGGCTAACCACCCTAGTAAACAGACAATAAAAGTGTGATGTTTACTGTGACCAACAGTCCAGGTTTGACCTGGACTGTCAAGGAATTAGGGTATCTGTCCAGTGTCCAGGGCAAGGTCTCGCCTGGACAATGTAATGTCCAGGAATTGTACAAAAAGAAATGTTATCATACAGATTTACATATTTTCGAGGAATCTAATAGATTAATGATAATATGTTATTAATAATAACTCAATATAATTTTGGGTTAATATTAAAATATTATTTAATTTTCTGGTTTCATTTACATTTTGTATAAAAATGTATAATCTAATAATTTGACATAAAACTTTATATTATATTAAAGTGATATATCGATACAATGTTTATTAATAAGGGATATATAATATTAGAATATAATTTAATTAGTAACATTATTTACTTGAATGATTAGTTGTCTATTAATTAAATGGTCTTTTTAAGTTTATAAATAAATAGTTGGTTTATTTAAAGCATGTATGTGAAAATCTATTTTATAATGTTATTGTTCAGTATATTAATTTTAATTTTACAATTTAATTCAAATTTTAGTTTATTTATTTTAAACATTACTTAATTTAATAGTTAAATTATGTGTTTTATAGTCAAATAGTTAAAATCTATATACTTAAGTATTAATATAATTATATTTAAGTTTTTAAAGTTAATTTTGGACAGAAATAAAATTTTATATGTCAAATATGGCTTTAAAACATGTGTCCAGGATTGTCCATGAATTTTATGAAATTTGTACATGAAAATCCAGGAATTTTAAATTTTGAGTTGGTCACACTAGCTGGTAGTCCAGTGCGAACTCCAGGTTTTTAGGCACGTGGGCACTGAAAAATAGGTGTTCCCGCACCTTTTGCTCTGGTAATGCCATTTTTGGGTTAAATCTGTAAAAGTAGTAATGCTACTATATTTAATAAAATAGTGCCAATGGTATAATATGCATTGTATTGTTTTTATTAGTGATTACGGATACTTATGAATGACAAACAATTTTATATTAGTTTCTATGCGACACTAATTGGTTACTATAGACTACTCCTACTAGTGTGCAAAACGGGATAAGCACAGCATTGAAATCTTGCGTTGCAGGACAGGGCAGGGCAGTTTTGATATTTTAGTTATAAAAATTGTGAAAATTCTTGTGATCCATTTTTAGAAAGGTTTCCTAGACCCTTGATTATAATTTAATTTTACTCATTTTTATTCAAATAAAATCAATTATAATAATAATTCTGATTTTAAAACAATATTCACAGACATAATACTGATCGTGAGAATAATCAAAAATTTGACACTTTTCCATATAAGCCCTATATATTATAGGGTTTCATGTATGTATGGTAAATGTGCTCATGAATTCTACATGTATTATACCTATAATGTATGGCTACCCACCCTAGTAAACGGTCAATAAAAGTGTGATGTTTGATTGAAAGTATAACAATTTTATTGTGGATTATTAATATAATATTTCCTTGATACATTTTGGTCAACTGACCCGTCAATCCTATTACTGACCCATTATTGCATAGGAATCGGAAGGCTATGCAAACAAACCTGGAGGTCATGAGGTCATGGTATCGCTGATATCATAATAACACTTTTCGCACTCATTGGCACTCGTAGTCTAGACTATCGGTGCCTTCAATACCTGTTGCCAACCATTTTCTTGCAACCGATTCGTTGTTTGGGTTTTTATTTTTAAATTATTGATTATATTTTCAACTGTAAATGAGCTTGTAATAATTGTCAAATCATTTTTAAGCAATAACATACCCGGATCATATAATATCAATATTAAAACCCGGATCACATTATATTGCTGATATCATCATAATTGAAATCATAATAAATATATAAAAGTGTGATACTTCAAGTAGCAAACAGTTTTAAACAGGCATTAAGATTATAGACTACCATTAATTTAATTTAAAATGTCCGTTTCATACGATTTCAACGGTAAAATAGCCCTGGTTACTGGTGCCAACACTGGTCTGGCTGTGTCTACGGCAATACAGTTCGCCAAATCGCGCGTCAGTGTTGTGGTGAGCGGACAGTACTCCGACAGTCAACTAACTACTGTAGCCAATGAATGCCGCAATACTGGCGCTCATGTATTGGAAATAGCGGCCGACCCCACCCGGGAGGAAGACCTGCAAAAACTGGTCGACAAAACTATGAGCACTTTCGGTCGAATAGACATTTTGGTCAACTGTCCCGTCAATCACGAGAACGTCTCAATTACTGACCCGTCATATATGGCTAAGTATAAGGAGACTATGCAAACAAACCTCGAGGCCATGGTATTCATGACCAGCATTTGTGTGGAGCACCTGGAGAAGACCCGGGGCACCGTCATCAACATGTCCAGCATTAGAAGCACTCGAGCTGTATAGTATTTTAATATATTAACCATGCTTCAATTACTTTATATTTTATGAATAGAGAGCGAAAGAGTCGGCTTATTGTATGGCAAAGTCGGCGATTGATATGTTCACCAAATGTATGGCCACTGAGTTGGGACCCAAAGGCATACGAGTTAACAGTGTTAAGTATGTTGTGTTTTGTATCTCTCTCTCTCTCTCTCTCTCACACACACACACACACACTCACACACTCACTCACACACTCACACACTTACTCACCATAACAAGCCCCACACACTCATACTATTATGTAATTTATATTAAAACACACTGATGCATTTATTTAATTAAACCCGTCCAAACCAAATGACTAGGCATATGATGGGTAACGTCCCGGTGCTGACCATCGCCGACCCGGATGTGATCAAAACAGTATTGGTGAAGGACTTCCCCCTGTTTGTGGACCGGCATATCATGTTCACCAAAAGTCACGCTTTCCGAGCCCTAAACCTGGACCGCCTGACGGGCGACCACTGGAAACGTGTCCGCTCTATAGTGTCGCCCGTATTCTCGTCGGGAAGTATGCGTAAAATGTATGGACAGGTGCGCCACTGTCTGTCCGATTTTACCGCCCAATACTTGGAAAATGTGGCCAATAGTGGCGTAGATATGGATTTACGAGATGCCTTTAGCCGGTACACTTTGGACGTGATATCCCGTACAGCATTTGCCATCAAAATCGATATCTATAACAAGGAAATGGATGAAAACAACCCGTTTGTGGCAAATACTCAACAGTTTTTCCGATTCAATGCCGTGAAAGAGGCGGCGACTATATTGTTGCCGGCGTTTGTGCGCCGGTGGCTACGGGTTGAGAGATCTAAACCGGATAAGTTTTTCGAGGATATCGTAAGGGGTATACTCGCGAAAAGGGCTCAAAAACAAACTGGGGATCAAAAGTATGAGGATTTTGTTCAACTGCTTATGGATGCGAGAGTGAGGGACAGGGATGACGACGAGTTAGGGGCTGGCAATGAAGGTATAAAATTTTTTGAACATGAAACAAACTAGTTGCTAATACAATATTTAACATAGTAAGTACATAATTACTTGTTATATATAAAAGTATTAAAATTATTAGTAATGATAATTAGTAATAAATTCATAAATGTTACTAGAATATAATTTAAAATGTGGATAATGCCAAATTAATGTTCTACCTACTATTTATTCATACTGTGTGCACGTATTTCATGAATTGTCTCTTATATTGAATTAAGTCAATTCAATGAATAATAAATTTTTCAAAATATATCTTAAAAGGAGTGGAAGAGCTGGCAGTGACTAAGAAAGTACTGGACATAAAGGTAACCGACAAACGGCTTTCCCCTGACGAGGTCGTAGCCCAGGCCTTCTCGTTCATTGTGAGCGGTTTTTTCACGAGCGCCGACATCCTGGCCTACTGTGGCTATGAATTGGCACT